CCTTAGTCTGCCTACCCACCACCCTTATCGACACTTCAACGGTATTCTTCCTCAGTCATTCTCACTGCAGAATTACGCGTTTGCTCCCCCTCTCCTGCCCACCAGCAGATGAGGGGATACACCTTGTCGTCTAGTAGCTAACGTATTTTTCCTTCTTCACCAGGCTTTCCCGCTTATAGAAGGCCGTTTGCTATGCCGGATGAGTTCCCACCTCCTCCGGGCTCCTGGTCACCCGTGGATATTAGCACCTCGGAGCGGCGTAGCTTCCCACAGATAACCAGGTATGTGGCTTGTCTTGGTGACACAACATTTAACATTATGACCTAACGAAAATAATTTAATGGGGGAGACTAGCCTGCAAAATCTACAGTCACTTGAACACCTCAACTCGAGAGGTGGTTAACGGTTGGTTACTGCTTTTTTTTCTGGCTGTCAAGTCATGTTGCAGCTAATAGCACTCATCCCCTGTTTTACTTCCTATTTTTGTACTCTATTCGCTTTTCCCAGGTACCCCGTCCTTTATCTTGCGCTCCGAAACACGGTGCTTTTCCTGTGGAATGAAGATCCAAAGGTAGGTATCGGACTTCTTTTGGTTAACGATAATTGCGTTGCTTTTGCTCTTGTCTTTTCTCCCCTCTCCCATTTTTTCTCTAGGTCATCCAGTCCTAAACTAACCTTAAACTATGTCTTGAGCATTTCGTCGAGCTCAGTTAAATACACAACTCTGGCTCAATATGCGTACCGAAATCAAATAAGTAGGCATGTTTTGGCAATAAAAACGAAGACCTTAAGTATGAAATCAAGTTTTTTGTTTTCCCAACTCCTTAACTCTAGCGACTGGTGACTTGCGACCTAGTCCAGTCACGACTCATCATCCGTGGCCTGTTGCGCGTTCTGCTGATTGAGCAGTGGTTGCCTCGTCTGTTAGCTGAATTGACGCGTCTCGGAATGATCAACTTTGGCGTCTGCGCTGCCCCTGTCAATCCAGCTGCCAACACCGCCGATCGACCTGCGACACTGAACATCTCTTCTCTATCTTCCCAGGTAGTTCATGAAAGCGAATCTTCTGGGCACTTTTGTGAAGTTGCTCCTCCCTCTTCGTGCCATTGTTTGTTAAACTCGGGCCCACGGCGAACGATGCTAACCTTTGGCGGCGGCCGGGTGTCGTTTATTTTAGACCTCTACACTTCCGACCTATTAAGCTCTTTATAGAATCTTGGAGTTCACTTTCACGGAAGTCTAACATTGCGTTTTCTACCCTCACCAAATTCGGACACTTTAGACACCTCCAACCAAACGCTAATAAGACACAGGAATGGGAACCCCGTATTTTGGGGTCTTGTGATAAGTTCCAGGGAGATAAGGTTTAGTAATAAGGTTAGACTTAGGGCTAAAGCGGGAGTTAGTGGTGGGATTGGGATTACGACTCGCTGGTGTTTACTCCCCCCCATAGAACTGGGCGTAAGGCCGTATATGCTACCGGAGGTCGGGGGTGTTCTTATGCCCACATCTTCCCAGCGGCTGTTGCGATCTTTACACTTACCTACTTGTACTTGTTACGGCTATGATCATACCTGATCTAGCCGGTCAACGGCCACTGTGATACAGGGTGAGGTGAGAATCGACTCCCAGGATTTTTATTTCTCGGGCACCAGAGTCGGGGAGTCGAACTTCGGACGGGCAGCAAACACCCACGTGATATTCATGGAGACTGCGCGCCGTCAGACTTTGAGTACCAGGTTCCAGAGGTGTTCACACATTCCAGTATCCAATACATCAATACAATAGCCTCTATAGGGACTTTCTGTTGACAATTCTTGATTTCGACGGGAAGTCGCCCCATATAATCAAATACTTTAGTTTGTTCAGCAAAATTGTGCTTCAGTACGCCTTACATCTGTCAAGTTTATGGAACTCTCTGAAGTTACCGAAGCAACGGTAGCGTATGTTGTCCTGCCCAGAGAACGGGGCAACGGCAGTGGATATGATATTACTAGGGGTTTTACGGGTTAGGATGATGGAGGCAATAATTAGGGCTATATATGGAAGACCAAAAAGAATTCACATTTCCGTCATATGCTTATTTTGTTACTCCATCGAAGTGCCGAGCAGATCGTGGAATTTGGAATTATGAGCGCGTAAACGGATAATACACAGGAAATTTGGGGTTTTGGTTAGTGTTAGTTACTTTTGGTAAAACTATCCGGCAGGCAAACTCTAGTCCTATTCTTAAACCGAACTCTAGTCGTAACCCTATTTGTAGGCTCAACCGTAACCTTAACGCTAACATAGCACGCCTATTTAAATGAAGTATGTAGCATATCTTAGGAAGAAAGTTTAAGTGAGGCCACATACACTATGCTTACTGCCATCGAGGTACGTTTAGGTCAAGGCGGCTGTTTCTTTCAGTT